CTGACGATTGCATATAGCATGAAACAGACTGTCGCCTCCAAGTGTTGACTTCTATGTTCACTTTCATATTTATATATATATATATGTGTGTGTGTGTGTGTGTTGATGCAGATTTTTTTTATATATAAGTAGATCCGACATGTCTTTGACATTTTTTGTTTTCCATTTTCCATTTATTTCTCACTAGAATTTCATGCAACAAAATCAATCTTTGCCTGATTTGAGGAATTTATTATTATATCTTCTTCAGAAAATCTGGTGCTATTTTGACTTGTTATCTACAAGAACAAAATATCAAAATTTGTTTCCCTTAGTTTTTCAACTAGTTTGCCTAAATATGTGATTTAATTATTTTCCTAATCGCCTTTTTAATTGGCTGGTTTCAGTAATTATTTTCTGTTCCTTTATTTTTATATGAGTCAGTATCGCTGAGTAGTAAATTATTTTCTCCATCATATGAGTTCTTATTCATGATTACAATCCCACCTCCCTTGTCCGAGGAGGAAAGAATTAATGGAGTTATTATTAAGTCAACCTTATGGGAAATTATAATTTCATTTAATGCTGACTACAGGTTTCTGCATTCGCAAGTCTTGATAAAGATATTATGACCCACAAGTAGAATTCGAACCTCCGTCTCTCTTGTATAGACTCCTCAACTAGATTTCTCTTTTTTCATCATCCAAATAGCTTGAGTCTACAGCCGTATCACATTGAAACACCGATTCCTGTGCGATCATTGAAGTTAAGCAATAACGAGCCTGGTCATTTCCTAAATAGGTGACAGCTTGGGAATGCTATAATCTGGGTACTATAATCTTGGATACACAGGCGATGTAATGGATAATGGCTCGGAATTTTTAATCAAAGAGTTAAGTTCCAATTCCGGTTGGGTTTCGTTATATTCACTTATATTGCAAATACCCTTGGGAAAATTTATGAATTCACCTCTTCTTCCCCATTTATGGGTTAATTAGTAAGTGTATAAAAAAATCTTTATTATCTCAATAGAAAAAAAACTTACGAAATATTTAGATTTCGGCATTAAATAACCCATAGAGATTGATATGCCACTAAACAAAAGCCAATCAATTAACTAAATGGTTTGATTTAACGTTACTTTAATCTAGAAATCTACCATGGCTGGGATGTCTAAAAAATACTTGGTTTTATAATGGTTTTGTCTTAAGACGGGACGTAGATTTGAACCCTGCAGAAAGTTAATATCCCTTTATTACAACTAGCAAATACACAGGCCGGTTTTTCGAAAAGTTACAGCTTAAAATAAACAAGAAATTTAGTAGGAGTACATATTTTGTTTATCGTCCGGTTCACACTCTTCCATGGTCTTGTGAAAACGAGTAGAGGATTATCATTTGTGTTACAGAATGAGAAGACCAGGGCCAGAATGGTCAACGATTGATCGGAGTGACTTGTGCCCGGAATATTCTGACAGTGATGGATTGCCTTTGTCTGGGTTTTGAATATAAGTCCAAAACGGCCCGAATTCAACAGAAGGTCTCAAGAAATCTGAAGCGTCGATATGCCTCCCACACCCATGTTTGCGATCTGCTAATACCAACTGTGGAGAGGCGCTGTGCCAGCGTATGGCATTTATCCCCGTAATGTCATTCCTCTTACTGCCTTTTAGAATCCAAGCTGCCATTCTTTATAAAATGAATACCAAAAGATTCTTTATGGTGCCGTGGCGTGCGTATTTTCGCATAAAAACCTTTTTTACAAAAGAGAAATCAATTCGAAAGACGATTGTTCATGTAAGTTCCCATTAATTTTTGTTTTGCTGTGTCCTTCCTGACAACATTTAGAACGGAACATTTTGCCAAATTGATTTAGAGCCTCTCATCAGAGGTTAAAAGTATCAGCGGTTCACTGAGGACTCACAAATATCTCTGTGAGATAAAGACTTTAGATAAAAGAATTAGTGGGGTTAGGAAATGGGTAGGGGAGATTGAGCCTTATTTTATGCTTGTCGAATCCTCAGAAAACCAAATGGTGCTATAGAAAGATACACTCAAAGACTGATATCGACCAGCCCTCAGATGACTTGGGAGCTACGAAAGTCAGCGCTTGCAGACTACTGTAAAGAGATACTACACCCTCGTATATGTTTTAGGCAACTGTCTAATATTCGACAGGGTGGAAATGAGGAAATAATATCTTATATGGATAGGTTATTAGAATTAGCGAAGAGGGTCTACGTAGGAGCAGACTGTGGGGATCCGATTATAGCAACGTAGCTTAAGACTTTTTTTCATGGAGGGGTTAGATAATGTAGATATTTAGATGGCGGTCTTCAGAGAAGAACCGCAGACCTTAGACGCTGCGTATGAAAAGAAACTAGCGGAGAATAAGTTGGGACAATGCATTGAATTGAACTTAGGCAACACGTGTGCACAACCCCATGGAGGTTTGCCCCGCTGTGAGAAGGCCCAATGTAGAAGGATAGAAATGAATACCAGGGTAAGACGATATGCACCATCCGACATATACAATAAAAATAAGTGGAGTCAGGTAGGAATCAATACACGACCTGAGAAGTTAGTTAATAGAAGCAGAAATATAGTTATCAGCTGCAAGTGCAGTGATGGTCACATTAGACGGAGTTGTAAGCGATTGCTTTCGTGAATCTGGGAACGTCTGCTCGAAATGGAACCATCGAGAGGAAATACGAATTACCGACATACGTAGTCGATAATACGGGCTCACCCATCTCATTTAGGATTTGACAAAATAGACATTCTTATAAGACTCTGGTAGACAGTGATGCTTGTACGACTGTACTAAGAGATTTTGCGTAGATATTAGGGATCTTGTTATGGGACCTTACCCATAATAACATAATGGACTATTCCATACGTAATAAATACTGCGCCTCAAGAGGAAACAGGGAGTTCAGTCCGAAGTCGGGCGACCGGCTGACTGGCTGATCGGTTGAACTCTCTGCCTTCGGACGGGGAGGAACCCGAACGAGGCTATGCCGAAAGGCGGAGTTTCTTTCGGAGAAGTAAACCGACCTTGAACCAGTTTATACGGGTTCAAAGGGCATATTTTGGGCCGATGCCACATGATTCCCTTGTGAGGGGGGTGGGGGTGACTAAATACCGTTCAGTCTGAAGTCGGGCGACCGGCTGAACTCTCTGCCTGCGGGCGGGGAGGAACCCAAACGAGGCTACGCCGAAGGGCGGAGTCTCTTTCGGGGAGGTAAACCGTTTATACGGGTTCAAAGGGCATATTTTGGGCCGAGCCCACGGGCTCGGAGATCCCACTTTAAACCGGCCTTGTGCCACATGATGCCCTCTTGGGGGGGGGTGACTAAATACTGTTCAGTCTGAAGTCTGGAGTGAGTTCCATCAGGAGTCTGTCAGCCAGTCACAGCCAGTCGAGTCAGAGGCAGTCCGAAACAGAGTCGCGTTCAGACAATTACTACTAAACCTGATTGTTCGTACTAACACTTTCTACTTCTCTGTATATATTCCTGTTTGTAATATATCTGTGTTATTCCATATCTATGTTCGAGTTCTTCTTTATTGGTTCTACCTTGGACTATCACCGTGGTACAAGAAACCGGACCATAACAGATCTAAATAAAATTACTGAGTGAATGCGGGGGATCATGACCAAGTTTTGATGCCCCACCAAGTTCATTGCAAAGGTCCGGCAATTCATGATGTCATGAATGCTAGACTGCAGGATGACGGTGAGTACTCCCAGCCGTTCTCTGGACACCAATGAAGTAAAGCAGGGATGGGTGCTGGCTCCCACTTTGTTCAGCATGGTGTATTCCGTCATCATAACGGACGCCTTCCGAGTTGATGTAGGTCTCGGCTACTGTACAGCCAGTAAACTCTTCAACACTCAGAGATTGCAGGCTAAGACAAAAGTGCATGAAGATACGCGGCCCGTGACTGCCTGTTGGCCGGCGACTGCGCGATCAATGCCAGTACCTATTCTGACATGCAGGTCAGCGTGAAACTATTCTCTAAAGCCTGCAAAGACTTCAGCCTCACAGCAAGCACCTGCGGTGCCTTAGGGTGAACCTTACATTAATGTCAACGACTACAGACTAGCGGCTGCAGATAACTTCATCAACCTTGGTTGCACTTTGTCACGTTCCACCAAAATCAATAAGGAAGTGGCATACAGAATCGCCACAATCGATGCGGCCTTCAGCAGACTGAAGTATAAAATCTGGGAGCGAAAAGGACGGAGCCTTAACAAGCTCAAAGTGTACGGAGCAATAGTCATATCCTTGACTGCTCTATGCGTGCCAAGAGTAGACAGTCTATATGTTAAATATCATGATGCTTTCTACATTAGATGCCTCAGGAAATTGCTCCGTGTAAAGTTACAGGACAGAGTCCAATACAATGAAGTTCTCTAGCGAGCTGGGATGGAGAGCATCCGTGCCATCCTACTGAGCTATCAGCATGAACGACTATCGCCCCCCACTCTCCAACGAGATTGCTCGATGGTGACGGCTCACTCGCTAAACCAAAAAACTTTACAAAGACACGCTGAAGGAGTCTCTCAAGCATTGTCGCATTCCCCATTCCACCTGGAAAGAGTCTGCTGAGAACCGTGCCATCTGCCGATCTCTTGTAAGGTTCAGAGTGTCTAAACTTGAAAAGAAAACAATCAGGAACAAAGAAAAAAAAAGAAAGATCAAGAGAGTTCCGCCTTTCGACCTGGTTCAGCCCCTAGCATCGCATGTCACAACTGAAACAGATTTTTCAGGGCGAAGATCGGGCTCATTAATCTCCGAAAGCACAATGCTCCGCTCCACCTCCTCCCCAGTGATTCGAAGTTAAGGTCATCTTCGGATGCTGAAGACGAATGATAAAAAATAAGAACAATGCACACCCACTCCCAGTTATTGACATGTTAAAATGTTTAGGCTCATCTACATTTCCAAATTAGACTTAAAATCTGGATACTGGCACATAAAGCTACACGAAGATTAGTAAAAGACTCCGTTCACGTGTCATTAGTGTTTATTCCACTTTAATGTTTTGCCACTTGGGCTGAGAACGTGTCCGGTATATTTCAGGAATTAATGTCCACCGTTTTTACAAGGACAGGAACAGCACACTCTGTCCTAATCGGGCGTTATTTTAATGTTTTCTGATTCCGCAGAACGCCATTTATAACACATTCAGATGGTTTTCAACAGTTTAAGGAAACAGAATTTAAAGTTAAAAGTACTTAGCGTTTACAATCAGCGCTACGTGAATTCAACCAGATACTGATAAAGTAGATGCAATACACTTTATAGTTACTCCTACTACTGCCAGACAGGTTCGGGGGTTCATCGGGATGTGCTCCTATTACCGAAGATTTATTCCAGGATTCTCTAACTTAGCTTAACCGATAATTAGTCATCACAGAGAACAATCCCTGACGCTCAACTGATAAGTGTCATGTTTTATATTGTTGTACAATTCTGTAAAATTTTATTTGCTGTTATACCATATGTCTGAATGCATGTTCTCTTAACCTGTATAATATTTCTTTTGACTCGTGTATATGGTGCTGGTTCTGAAGGCATTGCGAGATTTGGACGAATAAGTTACAAGTCACGCTTGTCAACGATTTGAAATGCATATTAATATGTATTTTGAAAAAGCAAATGTGGAGTTAATGTCACCAAGGCCAGAATGGTCAGTGATTCGCTAGAGTGCCTGGTGGGCAGGGTATTCTGACAGTGATGGATTGCTTTTTTAGGGGTTGTGAATATCAGTCCAAATGGGTGCGAATTCAACAGAAGACCTCAGTATTTCTGAAGCGTCGTTATGTCTCCCACACCCATGTTTGCGACCGGCTAAATAACCATGAACCTTTGTGCAGACGGGCCATACAAAACATGTAACAGCCACTTTGGTGTATACTGAGGATACTAGTACCCAGTAGAATCCGGATTGGATGTTTACGCGTCATGCGTTTATGCTAGTGTTGATGGAAGGATAACTGTCATATTTTATATTGTGGTTCAATTCTGTAAAAGTTTATTTACTGTTATACCATAGGTCTGTATATATGTTCTGTTATGTTTTCTTTAGGTTTGCGTATATAGCGCTGGTTATGGAGGCATCTCGAGAGATTGACGAGTAAGCTATAAGTTACACTTTGCAATCATTTAAAATGCATATTACTTTGTATTTTCAAAAAGAAATAAAGGAGGTAATCTACACACTATTTACATTATTGGGACTATCGTCCTCATCTTTATCGTCATATTTATCACAACTTTTCGGCTGTTGTACGCTCCGGACTTCTTCAGGTGATTGGAATGTCGAACTGAACCCTTTATTTCTCTTACTGGGATAGACTGTTCAGTTCCACGTGCCAAGTTTAATGGATGTCAGTTATCAGTTATTTCCCGTTAATTCCACTCTCCAAGTTCTCCACTGCCTTAACCGGGTATTGAACTCACACACTTTGGAAAATATAAAAAGATAATAAAGGAGATAATATTACAGAATGCGTAGGCAACGGCCAGAATGGTAAGAGATTGGGCGGAGTTCCTTGTGTGCGGGCATTCTGAGAGCGATGGATTGTCTTTGTTGGGGTTTCGAAGTCCAAAACGGCGCGACTTCAACAGTGTCTCAACAGTTCTGAAGCATCGATATGCCTCCCACACCTAGGTTTGCGGCCGGCTAATACTACCCGCGGGGTGACGCTCAGCCAGTGTACGACATGCGTTCATGTGATGTCGGTCCTCCTACTCCCTTTTAGAATCCACTCTTAATAGAACGAATACCAAAAGTAAATGACCATTTTCGTTGATTCCGTCTTATTTCTTAGCGTGTTGATCCTGAGACGACACAGAACGCAGCACTTGTTTCCTGTTTAGGATTGGATTTCCGTTTCATTCTAAATTCTCCCCCACTCTATGCCCTCTAATGCCTCCGACTTAACTCAGAAATTTTAGTCACTAATTAAATCTTGACATCTTCAAGTCTAGAGTTGGCTGTTATCTTTCTTGCACAGACCCAAGAACTTCATTTCTTACCCTTTCTTAATCTTATACAACACTATACAGTAACGCTCTATGTTGAGTGGCTCTCGGTACTTGTATTTTGTGAAAATTAGTAAAAGTAAATAAACAAATGCTTACTTAAGTATGTGTATTTAATATATACAGGGTGACCAAAAAAACGGGACTTTTTAACAATCAAATAAAACCAAGAGTGATGGAAGAAAAATATTTTATTCATAGTAATTGAAACCCTAAAACATGCCATTTAAGAAACAATGATGGAATTTTCATTTTTTTAAAAATTACGTCCTGTAGATGGCGTCCTTCTGTACGAATGCATTCTTGAAATCTGCTGTTGAGTTTCCTCATTGACTGCTGCAATATCTCAGCTGGGATACTGTGAATTTCATCTTGAATTTTAAAAGGTGAAATGTTTACTTGCTCAAAGTCACTGTCTCGCAGTGTTGCCACTTGCTCATGTCTGGCAATACGCACTTCAGAAA